TATGTCTGATGCCGGTCTTTTTCGGCTATCTTCTCTACACAATTGCCAAAGAGAATGGAGAGGGAAGTGGCGAATCTTCTTTCGCTGCAGTTGAGGAGAAAATCATGCAACAAACGGGTATTTGAGGCATCCTCGTCAACAATCGAATACCAAATGTCTTAAGGAAAAAGATTGCGACCATGTGTGCTTAGCTAAAGCGAACAAAGAAGAAAAGTGGAGGTTTCGGTGTAAAGAGGCTCACTGATAAGTGGCGTGACCGTACTTACTCTGTCAAGTTATTTTATCACGAGCTTGATAATTATTTTATTGAAAAGGAAAATCAAGATTTAAGAGAGGAGAAACGAGCGCCAGAAGAATCTTTGAAGAATGAAATTACCAAGCGACAGAAACTTGAGGAAAAGCTTGACGACACAGAGGGAAGCTACAAAGTATCACAAAAAGAGATTCCAAGGACTAGTTTGCAAGATTGCAGAGATGAGTAAGAGAGGTGTGATGGGCCCAGAGAAAAGACCCTTTAATGAGCACTCCAAGTAACACCAAAATGGGATAAGGAAGAAAATGAAATAATGTGAAGCCACTCTAACCTTTCTTGGAATGTACAAATTTGTGGCTTCAAAAGTAGAAGTGTTCAATGATGACACAGAACAATACAAAACTTTTGATCTAATTGATAAGGATCATATGCCACCATCAGGTTCTAATTACAGTGACCTAACAGATGCTCAGGTTAATGACATAAAATACTGAATTTATATAAAAGACAAATTTAACATTTCCACCAAAGCATGCCATGAAATGGCAAGGAAGTCTGAGTTGATCCCAGACACTTACTAGACAACCCAGCGGACAAATACAATGAATAAGAAATCTCCAGAAGAAGCAGAAGGTATGCAAATCAGCTTCAAAGAGAGTCTTGAAGGGCAGATTGTTAACTTACAAGGAAAAGAAGATTTAAAAGGAGATATAATTAAACTCAAGATAAGTGGAGATAGTACATGCATTGGAAAGAGACTGAAACTAGTAAATATCACATACTCCATACTAAACAAAAAAACAAAATGCAGTGAATGAAAAGGGCAATTATGTCCTTGCTATACTTAAGACAACTGAGAACTAAGACAATCTCAAGGAAAGCCTGGCTGATCTAACAGAAGAAATGTCTAAATTAAATAAGGTAAAAGTAAGGGCTAAAAGCCAGAACATCAAATATTTTCTTGGTGAGGATTGGAAGTTCCCAGCCTGTGTTTGTGGGTTAGGGGGAGCTAACCAAGAGTATGCATGCATTTGGTGCAAATGTCCTCATAACCAGAGGCATATCAAAAGGGTATGGTCACTTTCAAACAGTTCTCAGGGGGGGTTCATCATTGGAGGAAATTTCCAAATTTGCCAAATCAAAAAAGTTCAATTGCAAGGAAACCCCTCTATTCAATTTCATACCACTTGATTATGTAATTATTAACACCCTCCATTTATTTATTAGAATGCCACATGTAATAATGGATTTTCATGAGAGAATTTTAATTATGACTGGTTATGAAACCTTTCTAAAAAATCTGGGCATTTCTTTTGAATAGAGGATCCACAAAGACATAAAAAAACTGGACTATAGAGATCAAACAGGTCCTGAAATACTTAAGGTGATGTAAAATATTTAACTATCCTCACTTTTGCCAGGCAACAAGAAGTCAGAAAAGCTTCAGCTGCTATGGAATGGGTTCAAGGAAATCATCTGAGATTTAAAACTTGATTTTCCAACTAATGGATGAATCAATTACCTTGAAGAAAAAATAGTGGGATGGTTTAAGATCTTCTCATCCTTGTACCGAGTTAAATATGTATCAACAAAGTTGTGTAAAATTGTGGCATATTTTAATCAGCAGGGTATAGACAAAATAATGATGTGACTTCCAATAATTATTTTAGATTCTCTAACCACAGAGGTATTACTACTCTATGACAACCTCTTCAAAAGAAATATCAAATTTAATTTCTAGAAGCAGCTGGGTATGAAAGGATGAAACAGAGTTACCACTGTAGTAAATGTTCCATTTCAGGTCATTCAATCAAGACCTGCACCAAGCAATGCAAACATTGCAATCACCAAACTTGTAGCTCACACCTTATAATATGGGAAGGTAAATGGGGGCCAAAATGTTGTAGTAGGTCTTCACAGAGTTACTTAGACAATATATATCACATTTCAAAATCAGGTGTTTCTAGTTACAGTACAGTGTGAAGCTAAGTTTCAAAGCTACAGATTACCTGCATCAGTCAATTTTTGCAATAACGAGAAAAAAACAAAAGTTCCTTTGTTTTTGTTGACATGATATTCTTTAGCGTGCAATATAAATTTTCACACTTTGTGTCTTCGCTGTTTCTTTGAGAATGATAACCACATGTAAAAATCTGTTCTTAAAAAAAATCGATATCTCAAGATCTATGAGTTGAAGAAATCGCTTGAAACGGGAAAATACTCTTTAACTCAAGACAGTACTAGCTAAGAAAACTTCACTGGTGCGTCGAAAATTTTGTCGTGCCGTCAATTATGCGGCGCCACGAAATAAACATGTCAGCATCATTTTCCGCGTGAATTGCTCTGAGGCCAGCTTTTTCCCAATTGAGTTCTTTTATTTTCAAGTTCACTACCCGTGTATGTGAGTTGTTTTTTTTTAACTTAACAAAGAGAGAAGCTGTGAAATTGACAAGGTAAGAAAGTAAGAGTACAAGCAAGATAAAAGCTTTGTTATCGAGTTTTACATGTTTTCGATTTGCAGCAGCTTTCATCGAGAGGATATAACTCTCTTATTATAATGAGCAATCTGCGCGAAATAAATGAGTTATTGCACAGGTTTTTTGAAGAATATCTTCAGAGGATCTTACCATCTCTGTTATTTCCTGCATAGAGTATTAAAACTATACCGTAAGCTTTAGAAATTATCGTACTACCCGCACCTTCCTGTAAGCCGCTCCAACTACTGTTTGTGGAAAAATTAACAGATTACCCGCTGGTAATCGGTTAGAAATTACGGTATTACATGAGAACATTTTTACTTTTACAGGACCAAATCAGAAATTTCAGCTTGCTTTTTTGTAAACGTAAAATTTAGGAGACATGAAAAATGTGTATTTTCAACAACAAAAACATTAATTTACTTTTGGCATAGTAATCCTTATTCTCATCGCCCCTAACAAATGTAAATACAACACACAAACTGTCCTCTATTTCTGATCGGATATATTTCCCCCAATGCCTAAAATTCTTGGATCGGAGTCTTCTTAGACAACCAGAAACGCACAGTTCCCTCAGTGACAAAAGCATAATCACCATTTTCGTTAAAAATTCGTCGTCCCATATAATTGAGAGCAAATGGTTCAAAGTCTGGTTGGAACTAATTCAATAAACAGTCGTTTCCCGGTCTTTCTTTGACTTCCTTGTTAAAGCAAGCTCTTCATCAAATACATCGTGATCGACTCGAACTTCCACACGAGTGGCTGGGTCGTCCTTTCGGCCAGAATACAGCTTCCTTATTATGCTATACTCGCCACGCATAAACGTAACTGTTTACTGTATCCAACGTTGTGAGTTTTCACTCACCTTGCGACTTTTTCTGCGACTGTCACAACGACAGGATAAAGTTTACGATCGTTGGTATTTGTTCTTGTCTCCTTTCTGGATAAAAGCCCCGTCGAAAAGATATCGTCGGAGTATCGTTTTAGGACTTTCCTCTGCCTCGCAGTCGCCATGTATCCAAATGTGTATTGACACTGACACTGATACCTTAATGCGCAAGCGCAGCAGAACGCGCCAAGCGTGTCCCAACTGTGCGGGTGAACAAGGTTCCATATTAGGAATGCTCATGTTCAGGTATTACAGCGCTATCAGCCTTACTACCGTAAAAGTTTGATTGTATTGTGGCGCTAAAACATTCGCGGGATGCGACAGATGCTCAATCATTTGAAAAACTTACAGATAAGTGACGATATAGTTAGCCACATTAAATTCAATGAAGTGATAAGAAATATCATTGAAATTCAATTTAGATCAAAATAACTTTGTTTCATATCGAAACGAAGGTGGTCTCACCTTCAAAATAATCGTGCTCAACTGCTTCAGGCTCATTCTGATCATTCAGCCTCATGATGAACTGACATAACCACAAGAAGAACGAGAGGCACAGCTTCATGATTCCCAGTGAGCATCGAGATATTCTTCTAAGACCTTGACGAAGTATGACCATCATTCTTGGGGCAGAAGTTTGAAGGATGGTTTCTGTCGTCCTTCTCATCTAATGCAGTTAATTTATTCTAAAATGTTCACTTCTGTTGTCCCCTTATATCAGAGACGCTACACGTGTTATGATTGGTCAAAATTACAAACCCTCCCCGTACCCTCCCCCCGCCATGGAACGGAGGTGAGACAACGTGACGTCACTTATTTGCAAGAAAATATGTAATGACTTGAATGATTGATCCTTTTGCCGATTCTTGATTCTCTACGTAGTCAACCCTTGGGCCGATAGTGCAAAACTGCGCGATGACGTTGGCCTTTTCTGAAATGCTCGCATTACATCCAATCGTTCTGAAATTTCGGCCGTAGCATGGCGAGTTTTAGCTCCGAACTATCAAACGTGACTTGGGAGCCCGTTCTGAAAGTCAGTTTCGTGCGATTTCAATCTGCGACACTGGCGTCTAATGCGAAGCGCCAGAGATACAGCGTAGCTGGGGCTTTCGAGATGATTTTTGTCGATGGAAGTGAGCGTGGTGGTATGTCTAGCGGTGAGGAATCCGAATTACACAAAAAAATGGAAAATCTTTGCGAAGAATCGAGGTAAGTAATCTGTAAACATTCGATATTCAAATGCGTGACGCGTGTGGTGTTGAAACAGTGTAAAATTCCCCATGTTCTAAACGAGTCAGGGATTGGGTTCGAGTTGGGACCGCAAAGCATCTATGGATTGATTGAAGGGACAGACGAGTCATATTTACAAAGTAATTCTGAAATGCCTCACTATAATTGTTGCGTTCCTGGCTGTACAAACAGCTTTAGAAACGCTTCACATCTGCATTTCTACAGATTACCGAAAGATGAGTTTACCAGAAAGCAATACAAAGTCATTTTGAAGAATGATTCGCTAAAATTGGACTCCACAAATACTCGAATTTGCTCAGACCATTTCGAAGGTGGCGAAAAACTCAGTCGAGCTCATCTGCCGACTATATTTCCTTGGAAAAAGGCAGAAAGCACTAGACGACAGCTAAAAAGAGTCATCAGCTTCGAAGAAAAAATCTGGCAATTCAGGAAGCAAAAAAGAAGAAGAGGGAGGAAAAGAAAGACATGGCACAAGCATCAGTGACAGTCGAACATGAGAACAATCGTGAGACACAAACATCTATCACAGGATTGGAAATCGAAACAATGTTAAAGGAGTTGCAAAAAGCTTAAAAAGGACATCAGTGAATTGACAAATGAAAAGAATCAGCTGCTGGAGAAAAATGCCAAGTTGAGTGAAGAAAATGCAAACCTACTCGAGGCAAACTTAAAACTCGAGCAAGAAACAAAAAGACTAAGACACTCTCTTGAAAACTTTCGTTTCGATATTGAGAAATATAAAGACAATGCTGAAGACATTGCCTTTTATACTGGTTTACCAGACTATAATGCACTGCTGATATGTTTCGACATGGTTAAAGATGCAGCAGAGCATATTGAATATGAACATGAACGAACGCACCCAGGAATTCAGTGTGGCAGACCTCGATGTTTAACCAAGTTCCAAGAGTTTACTTTGACACTAGTGAGATTAAGGCTTGGATTGCTGGAAAAGGACCTTGCTCATCGGTTTAGTGTCTCAAGACCCCTTGTATCCAAAGTTTCAAGGGCCTGGACGAGATTTCTGAGGGGACAGTTTGAGCCACTTATTACTATTCCACCCAGGGAAGTTCTCAAACTCTACATGCCTGACATTTTCAAATCCTTCTATCCAGACTGTGTCATTATTGTGGACTGTACAGAGTTTGAGATGGAGAAACCTTCAGCACTTAATTCTCAATCTGCTTGCTACTCGTCATACAAGTCTAGAACGACGATGAAAGCCTTGCTTGGTATAACACCCAGTGGTGCTTTATGTTTTGTCAGTGAGCTATTTCCTGGTTCAACTTCTGACAAGGAAATAACAGCTCAAAGTGGACTGTTGGACAAGTTACAACCTTATGATCAAGTTATGGCAGACAAAGGGTTCAACTGCACTGATGAGCTTGCTTCTGTGGGAGCAGAACTGATTAGACCAGCATTTTTGGTTAAAGATACACAATTCTCAAAAAGAAGAAACCAACCACAACAAGATTGTTGCCAGTTTGAGAGTACATGTTGAGCAATTGATGGAGAGAATAAAGAATTGGCACATCTTTGACCACCGAATTCCAATTACTCTTGCCCCCATAGCATCTGATATGTTATTTGTAGTGGCTGGACTTTCTAATTTTACCCTCCTTTGATTAATTAAAATTTATGTGAATATAAAGCAACATTTTAATACTTAACAATGGTATGGATTTATGTTTTATTGCCTTGCATTAAAATAGCATTGATAAACTAGTGTTTGATAATGTATTATGATATTGCCATCATACCACTGGACTGTAACCAGACTGGTTATAAGTCATTACAATAATCCAAGCACACTACACATGTAGTTAGTAAATATTTTACTCAGTCAAATATGAACATAACTGTGTACAATGTATAAAAATACTGAGTTGATGTGTATAGACAAAACAGATCGCTGTTTTTTTTTCAAGACAAAGTTTATCTAATCTTAGCTATAGCAAAATACCTATAGGGTGGTTTTAAAAACCTGTGAAACAATTAATACTATTTACTTTCTAATAGTGCCAGTATTAAACAATAGAAACAAAAGCATTTAAGCAGAAAAGCACTAAACATGTACAAAACTTAGTACGTGTTTCACAGGCTTTTTGAAAACTATTCTACCTTCACAAATATATTGTTTACACTCTGATAGTACTAAAAAGTGTGCAACATAATTTGGGCAAACCACTAATTCCCATTAAATTTTGATTTGCCTATTTCATTGTATAGTTTTCTTAAATTACACACTTTTACTGAAATGAACACATTGATTTTGACTGTTTTAAACTGAACGAGCATTCAATTTAGGAATTCCATACTTGACTCTAGGATACACAAGTTCTGGAACAATCCAGTCATTAAAAAAGGATTCTAGCTTGGGCAAAATAGACTTCCAGCGGTCTATTGAAAAATGTACTCTTTCACAAAACAGTGAATCACAGCCTGAACCCTTTACAACAAAATCTGTCCACTTTCTTCCAGTAACAAACATTTGCTGATGGACTTGGTAGAAGTATTTGTGTTTGTCATTTAATCTCAATGCATTACTGTTCTTTTTGCAAATGCTCTTGCGTAACAATGCCTTTTCTAGTGTTTCATCCTTTGATGTCTGGACATACTTAACTTCTATAAGTCCCTCTGAATCAGAGGCTGATGGATCATGTACAAGGCCATCGGGGCTAGCACCAAGGTAACCATGTTCTTTTGAAACAAAAAACCCACATTTTGAGACTGTTATGCCTTCATCTCCTTGACTTTGCTTGAGAAGCTTGTAATCATTGATAATCTGGTCTTCCATTTTCAGTCCTTCCTCCATTGACTTACTTTGATAGGCCTTGTTGTAACCAAGTATATCTTTAATTATCTTAGTAGGGGACGTACTTTCTCTCTGTACAGCTACACGGTAACATTTTGTGGCAGTAATCCTTGGTTGTCTGTGGCGATGCCATAATTCAGTGTTTGATTGACCTCTAGTTTGTTCCTCAATATCTTGCCTTTGTAAATCATCAACCATAAGATTTCTCTTTGCTTTTTCAAACTTTTCTTTTAGCTCTTTTGCTGACACGGGATGACATTTGACTGGTGAAAGCAGAGAATCCTTTACATCCTGAAGTTTCTTTACTTCCTGAGGCAGTATATGTGTCCAAGCTACAGTGTTTCCTGATACCCTCTGGTACTCCTTCATCATTTCAAAAAACCTTGACTTGTTTTCATCGCGACAAGCATTTTGGTTTGCATTTACTGGAGAGTGATGAAGCTTACGTATCTTCTTCTCTTTCGTGTAGTCGTGCTTCACAAAAGTCATCTCATTTATGGGCTGTATTGCACCTTTTCTCTTTCGTGGCACATTCCACTTGCATGGTTTGGAGGTGCATGACTCATCAGACTCATCCAGTTTTTCCCTTACTTTACAATAGTTTTCTAAAGCAAAAAGTGTTGATGCAACATGGTTACATCTCCCATCTATGCCAGCAGGGCATTTGCAGTGGGCTCTTAGCATCTTTCCAAGTGAACTAATAACTAAGTAGCATGTATAAACTTTGTCCTTTTTCATAGATGGGAGGACTTGGCTTTTGATGTAGTGCTTGCCATTTTGTTGTAGGTGGCCTATGTACAGGACATGACCAGATTTAAAAAAGTTGAATCCTTTAACAAGTGGCTTAGCAGTGGAGAGCTGCTTTTTACATTCTACACCTTCGATCATAAATCTCCACACAGTTCCAAATGATATTTTTGGTAGTGCCTTTATATCTGGTTGGAATCCTTCTTTTGGGAATGAATCCTTTACTTCAGGCTCTTGATTCTCAAGTACGCCAAGTTGAGCTTTTTCCGTAACAAATTGACGCCGCCATCCGGATCACGCAAGTATTTAACATCAAATCCATGCTTGATGTAGTCGTGTACTCTATAAGTCAAAATTAGAGCACTCATAAGTACGAGAGGACTTTATTAAATTCGAAAATTTCGATTATATTAAATTTTTACTCTTAGGAAATTTTAATAATAATTCTGAAAAGGCATATAATTACAAATAAAGTTGTTATAAATAAAAATAACTTATTGCGTGTAAAGGTTCTTAGTTTAAAAGTTGCCAGCTTCGATACGAACCTCGACACTAAAGCTTTCTTTGTTCCCGTCGTTTTTGCACCTCTGCAAAGCAGCCACCTCTTCAACTGGACAACGCTACATTTTTCAACAGAATCCCTTGGAAGTTTTGCCCCAGGAATATCTTCCTGAGTTAGTTTAACAGTTAGTTTGGCTTTGCTCTCGCTTTCAGCCATATTGATTTGGAAAATCTGTCCCTTCAAACAATCCATAGATGCTTTGCGGTCCCAATTCGGACCCAATCCCCAACTCGTTTAGAACATGGGGAATTACATTTACTTTTACTTTTCGCGCACGAATCCTTGTTTGAATCCTTGCCTTGAGACAAACCTGTAAGTGTATATTTGTGAATGTAAAGCAATATATACTGTGATCAAACATGATTTTCAAGCGACATAGTAAATAATGTTCAATGGAATTTTAGAACGCAACGGCCTAAATTACCAGCCGATCACAGATCGAATGTGTGCGTCCGAACTAAATCAAATAAAATCTTTTATTTTTAAAACGATAGTTGTATATATATCGACCTGTACGTTATCTTGTATGTTTTGTATGCTTTTTAGATGTGGTTCTACTTGTTACATGCCGAAAATTCACAAAACAAACAAATTATACACAAATTTACGCGTTGTGAAAATGTTTGAGTGGAATGATATAAAATGACAGTTTTGGGTTTCACTTCTGAATTGTTTTACTCTTGAAAAATACTGGTGGTGCATTGCAAGTGAAAGGCTTTTGATATATGTTGCGCTTTATGTATTTTGTGGTTGATTATCTCATTTTGTCCTTGTTTCAAGGCAAAATTTCAGAAGTCAAACAAAGAAATTTACATAATATTTTATCTCTTTAATGAATCGGAAGGAGACATGGAAGAGGAAAGGGAGGATGAAGAGTGAAGGAGATGTTTCAGTGGTTAGTGAGAGTGAGGGTGAGATGGAGAGTGAAGACACTGATGTTGGTGTTTTTGTTGATCCAGTGCCTTCCACATTCCATGCCACAGGTAAGTTTTACAACCCTGCAAGGTCACGTTGTCCTCTTAGGGCTAAAAGGGTACCTGCCAGCTAAGGTACCTGTGATGCTCAAGGTGATGTAGCTCATGATTTAGTAGCTCGAGGCTCTACAAGAGGTTTTGGTGGTCATAGAGCCAAAAAATGCGCAGGCTCATTCCCAGAGGACCCACCCCCAGTGGCTACTTAAAAATCGTATGATGATGAGAATGAGGGAAATCCCTGGGATCAGTTTCCACCCTCCCTTTACCCCTGCATGTCCTCCTGGGATACAATTCGAACAGCCCTTGCTCGGGGTAGGATGCATACGGCTATTGTGTTTTTTACTGAAGAATTGGTGAATGATATTGTTAAGCATCTGGCAGTACATAAAGGACAAACAAATTAATCGGGGAATAAAACTGTGGGTACTTGCTGACAGTTCCAATGGTTGCACTGTAGACTTCAAAATTTACATTGGGAAAGATTCTGCAAGAGGGATTAGTAAATTTGGGCTTGGGCATGATGTTAAGGTAAGACTTATTAGTCTGTACTTCAATCAGTGTTCACTAAATATGTGTAACACATCTCAGATTTGTTATTTTCCAACCAATTTTAATGGAGATGTTGCCCTTATAACAAGGAACCTTTTAAGTTAATTTTTGCCTCATTACTTTCTATCATTTGGGTATCGCTTAATTCACAGTTCAAATTTTGTTGATATTGTGTGCTAATTAATGTTGGTTTGAAAGTATTCAATGAGGTTGTTTCCTTTTTCTTGGAGAGGAAACATGCATTTCAGGAAAGCTTATTTATTGCTGTTTCAATTGAGCTATAGCTTACTTCCCTTGTGTAAATACTTGGTGAGGAATAAACTTTTCAATAATCTGGGTCAATTTTTATGGGTTTGGGGTACAGTTTGGAAATAAATTCTAATTAATTCTGTATTTGTTGTTTTTCAGCCAGATTCTCTGGACGTCTTGCCCATAGTAAAAGGAATATTTATCTTGAAATGTTTCCATGTAACTCCACTCCATTCAGGCCCAGGCTGTTTCAATGTCAAAAGTTGTGTAATAATTTATGCAAATTGTATGCCATTTTCTTAGCATGATTTAAAATACATGGATTTTTGAAGGCAAAATATTTTTTTTCTGCAAAGCTTATTTTGTCCTCTTTCAAATGAGATATAGCACTACTCACTAGTGTAAATACTGTTGACAAAAAAAATAAAAGAAAAAAGGTTGTCGTCACTTGTCATTTTTTTTTAAAGTGTACTGCTAGGAGTAATTCTGATTGGCTAGGGTTGGTGATTTATTTTCATACGAACGAACAAGATGATGAACAAACTGCCTTGACGGCCAATTTTTCAGACAACAGCGATTTAAGACCAGGCTTGTGTTAAGGCAAGTTCGCGCGACTTTTGGGATAGAGACATTTCAAGAACAGCAGAAAGTCATATATGTTTTTTTTCGTAGGTAACGATGTCTCCGTCTCCTTACTTACTGGCCAGAGGATTATTATGGGATTGCCCGCCTTCAACTTTCGGTCTCTTTGCGAACGGCGCTGCGAAGCTATTAAGCTATCGGAGCTATTTGTTTCTGACAGCGATTCTATCGACAGAGAAAAGAGTCGCTCTTAATATACAATATTCCTTTTACTATGGGCAAGACGTCCAGAGAATCTGGCTGAAAAACAACAAATACAGAATTAATTAGAATTTATTTCCAAACTGTACCCCAAACCCATAAAAATTGACCCAGATTTCTTTACCTCTTAAAGAAATCTGTAAAAACCACGAGATTCCGCGGCAAATGATCCAACTTTTTTCGACGACCGTGGCACTCTTTACTAATACAAGCAGAAACCGCGTGGACTTCGCAGGCGCGATTCTAATCGAAAATCGTCCTCTTCCTACTCTATACCAAAAAGCACTCATAGTCTTTTCCTATATCCTCAAAGCAAAGTATACATTTGAACTCGGACGCTGAACTGCAAATTTAGCCGAAAAATAAAATGAATTCAATTCAATGTTGCTGTTTACCTCGATAACACGTGCCGCACTTCGCAGAAAATATCATGAAGTTGGGCGAGATACAAACGCAACAATCAAATGGAAGTACAGCTTAAGTTATGCGAGGTACAAACAAGACTATCAAACGAAAAGGGAAATCAACAGATTTGAAAAACAGTATTAATATTGATTCGTCAAAATATATTAGTATTTAAAACTACTGAAAGTCAGCATTCCGGACCCGGTGTCCTAGCGGAGCGGATTTGGACCGCCCAACAGAACTGAGTGAAAACATCATCCTTAACGTTCTCGTAGAAATGGATAATACTTTACGTTTCAGTGTGTACTAAAGTATGTTTTTAATTCAAAATATGCGTATCGCCAATGCATACGAACTGGCAGCTGGAAATGACCCGTCAGATGTTTCTTTTGGCCAAAGGAAAATGTGCAAGCATTTAGTTCAATGTTCGGAGAAAGGTCGTTTTTGAACCTTTTCCGCGATAGTCGAACACTGCTCGATTCACTAAGAGACAATCGCATCAGAAGAAGCAAAGATTTATTGTTACAATTTCAATAGTTCGAATGCAGTAGTTTGTTTGCATCTAATTCTTGCGTACACTGTACGACTCGCTATAATAAACACGGCAGGATTGGAACGAAATGGCTGTTTTTCTTTATCTCTATTGAAGAATGTTGTGTTGTGATTGAAAAGAACATCGGCAATTGATTCATACATCAGTGTGCGTTCATCGAGATATAAAGCACACGGGAAGTCTGGAGAGCACGAAAGATGCGTAAGAGTTGCTCGAGGCGTAGCCCCGAGCCAAAACCCAACATTATCCTCAACGTTCTCGTAGAAATGGATAATACTTTACGTTTCAGTGCGTACTAAAGTATGTTTTTATTTTTTCAACTCAAGAAAGCCCATGAGAATATAATCTTTTGGAAAACCGCATTAGTATCTTCAAAAATTGTACGTCCCAAAGTACTCGAGTGAATTGTTCTGTAGGAATATAGTTTTACATTTCTTTTACCTTTATTTATACTTCTTCCAAAAGAAAAATAAAGACCTTGTTTAGAGTTTTTTCTTTCTTTTACTGACAAAAAGCATTTTCAATCATTTACTATCAGCTTTCGTGTATTACTTGTTAGTTAGGGACTAGTCAGAAACAAAACTCCTCACAAAATGGCTCGTAATCGAAGGTTTCTTCGATCCTCTATTGCTACTTGCAGCGTGTGATACCAATTGATATGCAAACAAAATATGCCATCAGTCCTACGAAATGAACAATTTTAGTTTTATTTTTCAACAGGAAAACTTATGGTATTTTCCAATTGCTATTTGCGTTAGGAAATGAAAAGACGTTTTGTACCTTGACATATTTCATCAAAATTATACTACAAATTAAACCAAAAGGCAGCCTGGTAGCTGGGTGTTCTGTACTGTGTTTTTGTTTGTTTCTTTGTTCAGTTTTCAGTTTTCCCATCTAAATAATCTACTTCTTTGACGTCGAAATGTTCACAGTCATCTGAATATTAGCTTTAGTTTCGTTATCAACAAATTGGAAACTGTGGGACAGTTTTGAGGGTTTATTATAGATTACAAAATGCTTGTTGCTTACAAAATTTTTATACAAGAACTATCAGCATTAAACTTCGTCAGATGGTCACAAATTTATTCTTTATTATTGGGAAGAGAAAGAAATTTTAACCAGGGGGGTGGTTAATAGACAGGAAAGGGACGAAGTAAAGAGAAAAGAAATATACGCATATCTTCCCCTCCGACTCGCTTAAATTTACCCTAAATCGAACATGAGACAAGAATGAACGAGTCGAACCAAAAACACTCCCTTGTACTCCTAAGTAAGACCCTGGGTTTAAATGGATAACGTCGAAATGTCGATAGCCTGGCGGAAGAGCGGGGGGAGCCATTTTTCTCTGGGTTAGGAAGCGTTCTGCGCATTAGGAGACGCTAAAACCACCAGAGAATGTCAAACTTTATCCGGTTATCAACTCCATCTCAACAGAACGAAACTTTCGCACGGTTCCACGTGAACAGAATGTTTGGTCGAAAATTCGTCCGGTACCGTGTGAACGTAGCCTCAGAGTACTTTGGAGAATGGGTTTTACAATGCAATTACTGATGTCTATTCCATCTTTTCACGTGCGTATTCATAACCGTGATTATGTATCTCTTTCCCGCTGATTCTGGTTTAGCTGGGTGTTTGAAGAACAGCGAATGGCAGATGTGGATAGCGGATGGGAAAATGCGGATCGAAAAGTGCGGAAAGAATATTTAAATTAATAAATTGAAATAAGAACAGTAAATAAATTAAGTAACAATCAGTAGAGTATCGACAGGAATACCAACTTATATCAGATGTTAGCCACCGTAGACAGATACAGTATATAAACCTGTTTTTCTTCTTTTGGACCTTGACGCCAAAGCAATAACCGGAACATTTTATTGTGACACCGAAAAATTTATTTCTTCTGACAACTTAAGGAGCGGTATTATAAATAGTTCCTGTTTTTTACTTTAACTTGCTCGCAGAGTAAAACTAAAAAAAAAAATTTTCAAGTCAATTCTCGCACGGCAAAGCAGGTAGAGTTCCTACGGCTTTAAGGGTGTTCGCCCCTCATGGGTTCAGCTTGTCGAAAAGGTGTTTGACTGTTTACCACCCAAGAAAGATAATGAAACAAAAACGATGCTGGTGACTCTCCGTCTAGACTCTTGGTTAACTGGCTGAGCGTGAAGCAAATAAAACTCCGTGGCAAATCTGTGACGTGTCAACCCGGAATGAATGGCTGAGATTTTTAACTCATATTCATCAAAAATTGAAGAGTTTCAGCAAACCACGTTGACTGTCGAAGAGTCGACTCTTATTGAATGCATCAATAAGTACAAATGCGTTTTGATGATTTATTAGAGATTACGAAATGCCCTTGGATAACACAATTTTAAACAAGAAGAACTATTTTAATGATGTAAACAGCACTATAATTAGTTTACAAGTGCCTATGGTTTGTCGCAGCTTTACAAATGTTGGCCGAAGCGGACGGACAAAATCTAACCCGAGTATCGACTTAATAAACAAAACCCTGATAGGCAAAAAATTGCCTTTGACTGCAAAACGCGGGGATTCCAAAATTTTAAAACGACTTAGGATAAATCCCGGAAATTAGAGGTGGAATCCTTTGGCAAAGTATGCTGGCCGGTCTCATGAATGTTGGTGATGTCAGAAAATTTATCTAAATAAACAACTTTGTCGCTAGTACGGAAAGACCCTTAGTAAACATTAAACTTCGTCAGATGATCACAAATATTATATGGAATGTTTGCAAATATGATTTCCACGAATCAAGACTTTAGAATTCTTGGTTGGTCCACTTCAGAGTTTACATCTTCTTTCCCTAAACAAGACCGTCATCTGCTGCATCCTCTGAGCAAGGAACTGGGGGTTTGACTGACAAGATAGAGGAAAAGGAGCAAATATTATTTCACAACTGGTATAAAAGTTTAATGAAAGAGATATAAAAAAATCAACAACATATATATATGATTAAACGACTGTAGCTGGTAATTAGCTCTCCGTATTAGAAAATTAGGAAAGATGCATGAAAAGTTAACTTTACAATTATTTGCGTTCAAAGATTGGAAGATAGAAAAAATGATGAAATGTCGTTGGCAACGTGAAACTCAACAAAATGATAAAAAATATTACTGAAATTCAACTTAGATCAAAACGATTTTGCCACATATCGAAACGGAGCTGGTCTCACCTTCAAAATAATTATGCTCAACCAGTCCGGGCCATAACCATTTCTGGATATCGGTTTCGAGCTTTGTGATTGGGTGAGATCAAAACCAAAACAAAGCAAATTTGGCCGAGAGGTAATGGAAACAAGAAAAAGCTAATTTTTTTTTTTTTTGTGGCGGCCATGTTGTAATGCGGTTGTAAGGTAGTAAGCTGAAACAAAATTCGCTAATAAGGACTGGACGTAAGGTACCATTAAAAATATTCGTTTATTTCAAACATTCAACATGCATGTCCTCGACATTCTCGCATTCTGGAAGAGTAAAGCGGATTCTTTCTAGCACAAATTCTTTGTAACGCTGTGGTCCTTTCACCAAGAGCGTCACAGGAATAAAAGCTCCTCCGCCAGCCTGTTTGTATCTGGAGAACTTCTGGGTAAAGCTTGACCTCGATGTTACTGTCCGTTCTCCGTTGATTTCCCTATTTTGGGTTACAAGAAAACCAATTAAATAAAGTTGAACCAAATAACGCGCACTGATAACAATTGGGACGAGTGAGGTGTGAGATCGCGGAATCTGGACAATTTCATTTCTCTCCAGTATAGGTCGAGGAAAGACAATATCTTGCTTCTTTCCGATTTTTAAATAGACATTATCAATTTCAGTCCAGCAAGCCTTTACGAAAAAGTAACAGTAAAGCAAGAAAACAGTAACTCACCCTTCAATTCCTGGTTATTTTGCCACATCGAAGCAAAGCATGCAGCTGTATGTTTAGAAAGTGCTGAACCGTGCCGATCTGCTGCCCTTTGACATCTCCTAAAGTGTATGTCTTTCTCTGCGATTTGCTGAAAATCTGGACTTCTCGTAGAGCCTCTGGAATGCGTTCCATTTCTCGTGGAAGAAGACAAGCCAGTGCATGCGAATCATACGTGTCGTCGTCTTCACTTTGAATAACAAGCGGTGATCCACGTGGAGCTTTGATCTTGAAATTATGATACCTGGAAAATAAACGCCAATAAAAACATGAGTGGGATAAAATAAAATCAAGTAATCACAATCTATATTAAGACGAATACACATGATCGAATTCAATGCAAGAGAATCATACAAGGTATTTTACGCGCTATTGATCGATTCGCGGGAGAATCTAGGTCTCAGAACACTACAAATTCGGTCCTACAGCTTTTAGTCAGCAATAATATGTCCTCTACAATTACCCTTTGATTTGAACACCCTGTATAGAAAGTTTGTTTTGGTAATCACTGCAAAATGTGAAAGCACGAGCGGTGTTTCTAAACGAGTTTCACAATTACAGACAAGTCCCTTGTGGTTTTAGACGAAAATTTCACTCTCATCAGTTCGTGTAGTTAAACTCTAACCTTTGTTTCCGGAATGCTGTAATAGAGACACTTCGGCAAGGCTTTCCACCAATGTGATTTCTTTATTTTCATCTTCATGCCGCTCTTATCGCACATTTCCCGGATACGATACCTAAAGATGTGAGAGCTCAGTGAACGAATACCTCTTTGTTTTATGTTTGCCCGAAGGAGAACTTACTCGCTGGATAATCACATTTATGTGTTAGATCCGTGGTTTCCTGAAATTATTTTTTAGTGTGCATTCGCCTTGGCTGAATGAATCTCTCTGATGTCAAGATCTACATTGATTCGAAATTTCATCCAGAGCTCCGATTTAAAAGATTCTTTGTTTGTAGCACTGACCCAGGTCCGTGGCAGATTTGTGCCACAAAGACGACAAAGTGTCTCGAGATACTGAATGTGTTCATCCATGCTGTTGGCTTGATCTGAAATTCACAATGTAGGATTATAAAGGTCCGATAAATAATTGTCCTTTTACTTTAAATTGGTCGGCCACAACGCGTGGTTAAAATTTATGGTTTACACAATACTCCGATGGATCTGAACAAAGGAATCTGTCTGGTAGTTTGCACACTAACAGACTTTCAACATTCGTGCACTCGAGCAAAAACCTCGTGCACTCGATTGGAATTTTGACAAATTCTAGTTTTTTAAAAGATTTTTTTTAGGAATCAAAAAAAATGTTGCATACCTGAAAACCTCAACTAAATAGAGGTTATTCCTCGATCGAGCCCTTCGCAACATGGACCTCCACCCGACTTTTCATCTGAATTTTTCCTTCTCGTCATCGCGACCACCACCAGCTCTTTGCTTGTTGTGTGTAGTTGCTTGTCTTCTGTAATTTTGCAAGGTTTCATGGGATATGGGTAGGGAACTAAGTCGCTAGGGCTCGAATAAAGTAATGAGTGAGTTTCCTCGATGTCCCACTACGACATCCATGTTGGTGACGTCATCAAGTATCCAGAAATGGTTATGGCCCGGACTGTCAACAGCCTCACGCTCATCCTTTTTATTCCACATCATGATTAATTGATATAACCACATGAAGAACGAAAGGCACAGCTTCATGATTCCCAATGAGCAACGAGATATCCTTGGAGCAGGAGTTCGGAGGAAGGTTTCTGTCGTTCTCCTCTTCAAGTTCAGTTAGTGTATTTTGTGAAGGCTCCTGGAATGCACTTTAGCCTCAGTGCAAAAGCAATCACGTGTTGTGGTTGGCATTATTAGGAGGCAATTTCATGTGGTGGCTGGACGACAAATACAACCTGAAATAAAGTTAGCATGACGGGATTAAGTACCTATTCTTCGTGTCTGAATCATGATGGTTATAGATAACACAGTGTTACACTTCATGCGTGACTACATCTTGCGTAAACATTTGCAAGCAGTTTGCTGCTCCGATCGTTCTCCTCTTCAAGTTCAGTTGGTGTATCTGTGAAGGGTCCTGGAATGCACTTTAGCCTCAGTGCAAAAGCAATCACGTTTTGTGGTTGGCATTATTAGGAGGCAATTTCATGTGGTGGCTGGACGACAAATACAACCTGAAATAAAGTTAGCATGACGGGATTAAGTACCTATTCTTCGTGTCTGAATCATGATGGTTATAGATAACACAGTGTTACACTTCATGCGTGACTACATCTTGCGTAAACATTTGCAAGCAGTTTGCTGCTCCGATTACCTCTATTTCAAATACTGCAAGTTATACGAGATAGAAACAAGACTATCAAACGAAAAGGGAAATCAACCGATTTGTAAAAACAGTTTTAATATTGATGCGTCAAAATAAAAAAACTAATGAAACCCACATCAATCATAGAGAAACAATGAAAAGTCCTTTTTTTTTTCCATGTTGACTTTCCATTGTTTACCGTGAGAGATTTAGAGCTGCAATCATTCAATCGGTGAAATGAAATTGTTTCAATTTTCAACTAGTCTTATTATTAGAACGCCTAATTTTGGGGCGAATGCTGAACGTTCTTCGCTTTTTTTACGATTTGAGCCCGAAAACGTTCTTAACATGTTCTTAAAGTTGTGTAGTATAATGTTTTAATAGTCAGACTAAGTTCGACTTCAATTTACAATTGGTTCCCGGCTACGTCAGCGTACGTTAATCGAGATTAACGCGGAAAGTTTGGAGAGCATAAAAGATGCAAAAAGTCACTCGAGGCGAAGCCGAGAGAAACTCTCGCTTCTTGAGTGCTTTGCAAACTTCTTAAGTGCTTCATATCTCGATGAACGCACAGCTGACGTATGAACCAATTTTTTCATAACATTTTCAACCCGATGGTTTAAATGTTGTAAAAGGGTTAATATTCCCTCTGCTACGCTTCAGCGCGTTGATAATTTTGTTTCAGAAAAACATTTCGCTACGCTGTAAACGATCTTGTCTTAGAATGGTCAAAAAACTCCATTTGTTATTTCGTTGGTTCTTTCGGAGTGTCTCTCTGCCAAGATATTTTCGAACTCGGACTCACGCAGAGTTGCGAAACGGGATGACACCGACATGACATTACTCGTTAGTTATAAAAATAACTACAAAATGTCTCGTAATCGAAGGTTTCTTGGATCCTCTATCGTTACCTGTCACGAGTGATACCAATTGATATGCAAACAAAATAGGCCATCTGTCCTACGAAATGACCAATTTTAGTTTTATTTATTTTCAACAGGAAAACTTATGGTATTTTCCAATTGCTATTTGCGTTAGGAAATGAAAAGACGTTTTCTTCCTTGACAGATTTCACCAAAATTATAATGCAGATTAAACTAAAAGGCGGCCGGGTGGCTGGGTAGTCTGTGCTGTGTTTTTGTTTGTTTGTTTTTCTTTCAGTTTTCCCATCTAATCTACTTCTTTGACGTCGAAATGTTCACAGTCATCTGAACATTAGCTTCATTTTCGCTATTAACAAGTTGGAAACTGTGGGGCAGTTTTGATGATTTATTATAGATTACAAACTGCATTAAACTTCGTCAGGTGGTCATAACTATTATATGGAATGTTTGCAATTTTAATTTCCACAAATTAAGACTGTAAAATTTTTGGTTGGTCCACTTCAGAGTTTACATCTTCTTTCCCTAAACAAGACCGTCATCTACTGCATCCTCTGAGCAAGGAATGGGGGGTTTGACTGACAAGATAAAGGAAAAAGAGCAAATATTACTTCACAACTGGTATAAATGTTTGATGAAGAAACATGAAAAATACCAGTATAAATATTTCAGATTTGTTTTTTCAAGTCAGTTGATCTCCCTTTTTGTTTCATAATCTCGTTTGTATCTCTCATCACTTAGCTGAACTTTCATTTGATTATTACGTTTGTATCTCACCCAACTTTATATTCACATCGTATTATTTATAGCCATGCAGGCAGGAAACATGTGATTTTGTCACATGTCGAAAGAAAGCTGGTCTCATCTTGAAAATAATTATGCTCCACCGCTTTAGGCCTAATCTGGTCATTCCGCCCCATGATGAACTGACATAACCACAAAAAGAACGAGAGGTACAGCCTCACGATTCCCAGTGAGCATCGAAATATCTTTTGAAGACCTTGACGAATTATGACCATCATTGTTGGGGTAGAAGATCGGAGGAAGGTTTCTGTTGTTCTCCTCTTCAAGTTCAGTTAGTTTATGTGGTAGAAGGCCAAAGAATGTACTCTATTCTCCGTGAAAAAAGAAAAAAATACACACCACACGCGTTGTGATTGGTTAAAAGTAGGGGGCAAGATCATGTAATAAAACAAAATCGATATTGCACTGTGGTGAATAAACGTGTTTCCTTCCTACATATATAGTTATAAATAACACATTTGTTACACCTCATGCGTAACTACATCTTGCATAACTGCACTGATTCACTCTATTTCAAATCCTGCGTCCAGCTGAGCTAGAAAGTTTTCAATTAAATAAAATACAGCTTAATTTGTGCGAGATACAAACGTAACAATCAAATGAAGTGCAGCTCAAGTTATGCGAGATACAAACGTTGACCTACAGAGACTCTACGTAGAGCGAGGTCAATCTTGCGAAGTTCATATATTACGAAGTTCATATAGATCTCGCTCGCCGTAGAGTCTCTGTAGCTCAGCGGTAGAGCATCGGAGCGCGGAATGCGAAGGTCTGAGGCTCGATTCCTTATCGGGACTCAGAATCTTTTCTCTGTCCTTCGCTCGTGACATTTGTCCCACGCTCGTGACATGACGAAAAACATCTTTCTCTATTTCTTTTCTTTGAATGTAAATAAGTGTAAAGTAAACTTATGCATTCTTTCCAAATTTTCTTAGACGGACAGCTGATTACATAACTGCACAGCTTACATCTTGCATAACTGCATTGATACACTCTATTTCAAATCCTGCGTTCAGCTGAGCCAGAGAGTTTTCAATTAGATGAAATACAGCTTAAGTTGTGCGGGATACAAACGCAGCAATCAAATAACGTACAGCTCAAGTTCTGCGCGTAAGGTGAGCTCAAGCCTCTTGTATTTAACAGCACCTGGAGAGATCCTTTCAAAGAAACAGCTCATATTGGGGTAGACTTCGCTTAATAATTTATGCGGCTAAAACAAATCTGACCACAGAGATTTACCCTTTAAGGAAAAGCTCAGAAGATGCTGTAGAAGCTGTACTGACGCTAGGGTTACTCATTAACATATGTTCCTCGATTTGCATCGTTTTCTTGAACAAATGGCTCCATGTTCACCATGGCTTCCCGACCATAACTCTTACATGTATCCACTTTACCATTTTTTTGCCACGTATATTGGTCTCCGCTTGTGCGCTTTCTTCAATGTTTTTCAGCCAAAAAGGTTGTCTGTGCTCAAAGTGGCTCCGCTTTCGTTGGCGTTCTGTGGCTTCTTGGTGTTCACAAATCTCAGCCTTCAGAATAACACAGTTGGAACATATCAGTCAGCAAAAGCCCTGACTACACCGACCATCGTGGCAATCCACGCGTACTTTATAACTAGAGCTATTCAACACAAATCAAGTTAACATTTGTGAGTGAAGCTTTTGTTATGAACAAGTTAACATCCTCACTTTACTAATTAAGCACCATGTTTTTTTAGGGGGGAGGGGGTGAAGCCTTTTAAAATCTAGCATGAAACGAAAAGAGATGAACAACGTGTCAAGTTTTCCTTTTCCCTACCTTTTTTTCCTTTTACAGATTTCTTTTAACTTTTCAATTATTTTCGTCTCCTCCGAGAGACAGTGGTTATTTCTTACGTTTTCCTTTGAGATTTTGCGCGGGAAATTTGCGCGCGGCCGGCCAGAATCGATCCCCACGCGCATGCCCAACGTTTGACCGCTGTGTTATTGGAGCCAGTGTTCGATTCTAGCAGCGTATCGTTCGTGACAGAAATCTCTTTCAAGAACAAACGCAACCAGAGACCTATTTTAATACCTCCGTTCTTTTTAACTTGATGTTTTTTTCTTGTACATATTTTTATTTATTTTGCTGAGAATTATTCCAACGGGAACGGGTAAACTTGCGCGAGAGGTTCACAATTGCAGTGTAGTCTGAACAAGCTTATGATAAGATTTTTTATGGAAAGTGAAGAACATACAGGTGTCAATGGATGAACCCCAATTGTCTTTTATTATTGCTATTTGTGGTTTTTTTTTTCATACACAGAAAGTAAATAAATTTCGTTATCACCTGAAGTGTTAGTGAAATTCCGCGATAGAAGGGGCTAGACCAATCAAGTCGTTCGTCACCAGTCTTAATCTTTGGAGAAATGCGCGAACTAGCATGGAAGGGAGACTTAGGCCTTAACTTGCGCGTAGTTCACATTTAGTTATGTAGCAACAAAGAACTCGCCTAAGATTCCAATTGCAGTGATAATGTTTGAGTGACAGTTGTAAACCAGCCTCTATCCTTCACCTACAAAAGTTACTTGAACAGGTCAGTGCCAAATTCTTGAATCTAATGTAAGAAAATAAGTGTAGAAATGATGTAAAAAGTTCCGTTTTTTTAAATTGCTTTTCAATAATTTGTAGTCATAGAGGAGTAGTTAGTAGAATAAAACACGCTTTAGATTTGTAATTAAGTTAAGTCGTTTTAGGCCATGATGTAGATGAAATGAAATTTCCGCTCAAAACCAAATTTGAAAAAAGTTTTAAAATAGAAAACGAAATCGCTAA